ATAAAGTCGCTTAAGCATTTTTAATGGACTTTTAAGTTTGCTTTTATTGTTTCATTCGCATTGCTTTTATGGTGCCTCACTTCATAGTCGTGGATACACTTGTATGCTGTGGGATTACTAAAATATCTCTAAAATAAAAGTGAGTGAGCTTAAAGATCAATTTTAACATGAATACGAAGAGTAAACTAGATGCATTTATTTATGATGGAAATTTTCCTCAGTACAATTTAAACTGATATTTATGTCAATAATGAACAAAGAACAATTCCAAAAAGTAGTTATATTGTAGAGCCAAAGCTAAATGTTATGGATTATATGTCAGAGAGTTCAACAGAAATTAAACAGAACGTTTTATATAATGAACAAATTGTTTATTTCTAGGGAACTGGGAACTTAGCATTTAATTGGAAAACAAATTACTTCTACTTTACAAGTCAACCCGTAATTAATATTTTCAAAATTCGAAGTTAAATACCTGAACTAATTTTCCAGCTATATTGCAAACTGAATGGTTAATATTCCTCTTCTCCAAATCGATTTTCATTAACTTAAGTTATTTATATACCTTTTCCATGCTAATATTGAATTTCCAGCAAGTGATTTCCCCCCACTGGGCGTACTCAGCTAAACTGTGATCAAGTTAATATGTATTTGCATTGCAATCAGCCAAATTTCCTTAATCAGAAGTAAATAAACTTTGTTGAGAAAATGGCCAAAGCCCTTATGCCATTTTGCTTGGGGCGCTGAGAGCAGGGTAAATACAATTAACAATAGTTGTGCGATTGTTTCGCTCCCGAAATTTCTCCTCCATTCTATTAATACATATTTGATCTACTTATTTCAATCAATGTTCTGTCAACTACTTTTCGGGGGTATCAAATCCCCAACCCCTCCTCCCAATCATCCGGGCTTGCTAAACAAACTGTCAATCATAGGGAAAATCCCCCGAGGGAAATGTCCTGAAAGCGCTGGCTTTATTATGGAAATTAAATTGATATTTAAGTGACACATTGCGGCGGCGACGGGGTGAGCAAGATAAATTTCGGGTGACGGCAAATTGCTGGCCCATACACGCCCATTGTTAAGATGAAATTAAATTTTTATGGGCTTAAACTGGGATCAGTTGTTGTTACTTTACCCCCGAAATCCTCAAAAACCCCAGAAATGTGTGTGTGTTTTGGTCAGCTTATGGTTTTTGCGCCCTGGCATTTTGGTATTTTGACCTTTCGGCTCCAAGGTTTAATTAATATGCAAATGGACAAGCGGCAGGCAAAGGAGTTGAGTTGGCTGGAAGGTCTGGTCAGCAATTTAAATTTAGTTCTCCCATCTTTAATGAACTCCGAAACCGAGTTGTGTTTCTGAAATATTTATTGGACCGCAACTTGGTCCACATGCTGTTGGAATTACCAACTTTCCGGGGCCTTGGGCCTTTATGGGGGTCGCCCTGCATATTCATAGGGGTTTTTGGCCGCCATTTGCAATTCGAATGCCGTGCGCTTCCGGTTTTCGGAAATGCATTTCCGCTTCCGCCTGCCGTCTGCACTCAGCTCCTGCCAGCCGTCCACAGCCACAGTTTGCTGCACATCAATTTGATATTTGACAGAATCAGAAGTGCTCACAAACTAATGCACTTACTGGCCATTCAACCAATTTGGTTACACGATTCTGCTATATTTTTTGATGCAATTTATTGCACTGCACGCCCCGCTGGCCGACCACTTGTGAAATTGATTTGATTTTTATTAGCATTTTATGCGATTTGCCCAAGTGTCCATGGAGCGAGTGAGTTTGCCGGGGGAATTAAATTAAACACGTTCAGGTCGGTCGGCCAGCAGAAAGTGTTTGGTGTGCCCACTTTCGTACACATATACACACTTTTTGTGCGGCCAGGTGAACCAGGTGGACCAGCCATTTCTCATTGTTTGCCCGCAGCCGGCTTTCCTCGCTTTTCCTTTCTCCTGTGGCCACGCCCCCATGCACACACAAACACACACGCAGCAAACCATCAAATGCACTGGAAGAAAGAAATCTTACTAAGGGATAATCTTATAAAACAGAAATATAATGAGAAGTTTAAGGAAATATTCAATTTACATTATATATTAAAACAAAATAAAGACAAATTAATAATTAATAATAATAATTAAAATTGAGAAAATAATTAAATCCTTGTTTGGATATTTCCTAGAGAAATAGTGAAGGATATTATAATAATGCAAAAGTATAATTACCACTTTATTGCAATTAATGTACAATTATATCGGCAAAAAAATGTAGTAAATTAAAATCTAACTTCAGTAGAATAAAATAAAATGAATATTTTAAACTAATGTTCTTTAAATAAATGAAGAATTAATGTTACATTTCTTTCGCTGCTTTCAGCACAATAAAGAGTTAAAACACGGCTGACTCGCAGTCGAATGCGTGTTTGCCATATCGAATTTCACACTTTTCCGCTCGCCCACTTGCTCCCATATCTCATTCCCAGCCCTCCCCCAAAAACAGTGTTTCCTTGGGCGGGTAAAGTGGGAAAGCGGGAAAAGGAACAATGGGAAAACAGGAAAATTCAGCGGGCAACAAAAAGAGGCAATCAATGAAGCGCTTTTTGCTGCTGCACTCGTCACCTGCCAATGCGACTGCAACTGCAAATCCATTTGCATCTGCCTCGGAATGTGTGTATTGGATTTTCGCTGCATCGCCCTTAATGTGTTTCCCCACTTTTTGCCTACCATACATCATATTTCACATCAGATACGGTTGATGTTGCCTTTTCGCTAATGACTGCAGCGGAATGATATCGCTGCCAATTTTGCGATTGACAGGCTACACTAATTTGGGATCCCTAGAATGACCAGGGAAAATAGAAATAGCCTTTTCCTGTATTTTTAGTATTTATAACATATAATATAGATTAATATAAGATCTTAATAGATTTCTAATAAAGCAAATTAGAACAAAATTTTTATATTACTATTATAACTAGGAAACAAATCCGTTAGCATGTTTTATGGCTCACTCTTGTTTTTCCCACTCGAAAAGCTGCATAAATGATAACTTCATGAGCGCCACCCCCGTCAATTAAATGGTAACTCGAAGCCAGCGCCAATGGCAACCGAAATGGGAGCACTAGTTTTCAATTCAAAGCCTTTTAATTGGACGTAATTATGGCTTGACCTGACTGCCATGTCAGATCCAAAAGAGAGAGCTGCATTCGACCCCAGTTCACTAGCATCCAAAACTAACACATCCCCATTCAGTTTCCGCTGACCGCAATGGGAGGTCCTGGCTGCCAGGACCAGCTCTTTGGCCTGGATGTGTCAGATCAGCAGGGGATGTCGGGATGGAAACGAACCCCTCTTTAAGAGCGTGTGAGCCTGCCAAGTTTTGAGCACATAATAAATATTTATTAGACCCGCTGCTGCTGGCCAAAAATTTAATTTGTTTTCATTAAGCCAGACAAAGCGCTTAAGACGGCTGCAAATATACAGTTAAGCTTCCTCAAGAGCATTTCGGTTTTTACTCGTAAAAATTAAAAGGCAATTGCTTTAAAGCCTTAATGACTTTAGAAAATATCATGGTAGAAAACGAACATTTAAAAGCTAGGCTTTTAACTAGCTTGTCTGAGTTTAGACAAAATATTACTGACGTATTTATTAAATTGTTGATTTTGTCATTTCATGAAATAAATTGGGTCAGGAATAAAAATTATTTTATCTTTTATTAAATCGTATAAAATAAAGCTTTTAAGCAGCTTAAGTTTTCTGTCTATCTTACTTGACTTTTGATAAAATCTATTATTATATTATTTATTATTAAAATTAATTTTTTACATTTTCTTGTGCTTTACTCGTAAAAATGTTCTTTAAACCTAATTAAAAATCAACAGAAGGGTTATTTAATTATTAACATAACAGGAATTTATTATGTGGTTCAGGATAGCAAGGTTTGACTGTCTTAATATCCAACTCCCCCAAAAAGAGTTTGGTGCTGGAAAAATATGCTTGAAATTAAAAAGGGTATTCTCTCTGGGGTCCTCAATGTCAACGTCGTCGCCTTGACGTGGCCAAAAACATTTCGCTGGCTTAATTGTGCGCAAGCCAAGCAGATAAAAAGCGAAATGAAAAAGTTTGGGTCCCACCGATTGACTGAGAAAAAAATAAGAATATGGAAAAACGCGAGACAAAAGCGCTCAAAGCGAGGAGAAAAGCGCGTTCAACGCTGAAATCGGTGGGTGGTTTTCCCAGTTTTTCCAGCTTTTTCGGGCGGTTGCGATGGCGAAGTAACATAACAAAACAAAATTAAAGTAAATATGCGCCCGGATCCACAGACAAAGTAGAAAAGCAAACAATGCCGGGAGATCCTGACAGGGGTCGAAAGGAGAGACAAGGATGTCAGTAAACAAAATCACAATTAACTGAGAATGACGAAAAATAACAGAGCCAAAGGAGCAGCGAGCATGTGACAATGGAGCCGCTTTAAAGTGGTAAAAAATGAAAGGGGTTCGCCCAAGGACGAAGGACCTGTCATAAAGCGTTTTAATTGCGCACCCACATCGCCTGAGTTTGATTGGATGTGCCGAAGTCTATTCAAATTGGAGCCAAGGACAAAATGGAATATTTAATGATTGAAAAAGGGTCTTTGGATTTAATACGAACGCAGATTATGGTGACAATGACATGGGCCACAAGCCCTATTAAGTTTGTTGTAAGGTCCTCATTATCCTTGTTGTAGGTAATCCGCATATAATTAAATTTGATTGCTTTTCAAATTTGATTGCTCTGGAAAATTGGTACTTTATCGGTAGGTTACAAAAAATAAAATATTTGTAATATTTTTTGGCCTATTCAAAAGTTGTATTAAAATTATTCCACATATTGTTAAATATAATTTCCTGTATAAGAAAAATCCCTATTGAATCGGAAGACGACATAAAATATTTAACACAATTTATTTTAAAGAAATATTTAGAGTAAAATCAACATATTAATAATTTTGAAAACTACAATTTATTTAACATTTGAAATAATTTAGAAATTTGAAAAACTCAAATATTTAAATCACCAAAAGTGGATTCTTCATTTCTAAATATTATAATGGCGATGGCAACGTCGCACCGCATCGTTGAACTCCTTGCACACGTTGAGATCGTCATTTTCCTCGGTGCATTTGAGGAACTGCTTCATCTCCTTGGCGCAAGGACCTTCCTCCACGAGATCGCTGTGATGCGGCTGCTGGCCACGCCCCCTAAACAATCCGGTTATCCCAGCTCCAATGGCATGACCCACGGCTGATCCTGCTGCCACGCCCGCCGCATGGGCGGCCACGTCCTTAAAGATCATCTCCGAACTCCGGGTGGTGGGCAGCACCACTGGCAAATGACTGATGGTACTCGGCTTGGCCGAAGCGCTTCTCTGTCTGCGTGGCATCTTTTCCTCCTTTTTTTTCTAGGCTTTAAATTATGTATTTCGAGCTCCGCAAAAATTCAGACTTGCTACCAAAGGGAAAGTAGAATTTCGAATGACACATGTGGTAGGATTTAGCCTTCAATGCTCACAATCCCCAGGCCTTCTCGGGGGTATCACTTTTTTCCAGCTTTGTCAGCTAATTTATATTGCATTGCCCGCCAGCTAATTGCCAAGTGCATGCCACAGCGCCACCTGGCGGGGAACGAAACGCAAAAAAAATATTTCTAATTTGTTTTCCCTTTTTCACTTTTTGCGTTTGCTTTTCCCATTTCCCGCACTAATTACGAGCACATAATGAATTTGTCGGCAAACGCGAAAGGTATGAAAGCAAAACAAATACACAACTCCAGCTGGCTTCCCTTTGAAAATTCCCCAAGGAAGGGGGTTAATCTGGTTGGGGGCCATGTAGCCTTTAAAGTACACTATACAAAAAAAGGTAAGCTTAAAACAGAATAAATACCAAAATATTTAAAAGTAAACCCAAAAAAAAATGTGCTCTTATTAACTAGCTAATATTATAAAAATAAATATCTAAATATTTTAAAATAACCTATATACATTGCTAATTTTTTCTTTCAATATTTTTTAAATGATGTACACTTTCCACTAAGTTTTTGCACCCTTCCATACCCTTTGAGTTTAGTATGCAAAAGCACTTGACGAACAACCCCGAAAACCATTAACAAAAAGGAACTTAAATTGTTCGCTAGCAAGTGAAACCGCATAGGAAATTACTTTCCCCAAAAGAGTATTTCAGAAAGCAAGTGCAGGTATTTCCACGCCAGTCGACAAAGTCAATCCGCTTTCCTTTTTAGAGAGTGCAGCCGGAAATGCTTTAATTGGCTGGGAACATGCTAAAGTTCGGTTGACTATTTCTGGCGTTTTTCGAAGGGGCTGGGGGGCAAAAAGCAGTGAAAACACAGCGGCAATTAGCCAAACTGCCAAAAGTTTGGGCCTAATTCGAATTAGGCAGTGTGCCCCATATGCAGAATTTTGGCAGCGAGTTCATCGTGGCAAACGGAATATTTCATTAAATTATTGGCAACCGCAGAACAGAAAACCCTGCTGCAAATGCCGCTTGATTGATGCTGTATTTTATGTTGGAAAGTGCGAAATTCCCCTTCCATTGCGCCCCCTTCTCTTTGAGGCCGTGTTAATCAGCAGTATAGAATTTCCACTCACTCTGTCATGAATATTCAAGCAAATTATATTTGCTCGCTCTGAAAATGTGAATAAATGTGACAGCAGCTGAGGCCACTTTTCAACTGAAAAAGAAGAGTCTACGCAATGCTAATTTCATTTTGTTTATTGTTTTGGCTACAACTTAATTGGCCCAACCCCCGATGAGAAGCGATTCGATTTGGTCCCGGCAAATGTTTATAAATCAATCAACATCAATAATGTTTCAACAGGCAAGATGGATGGCCTGTGGCACTGGGATGAGTTTTTTGGGGAGGGGATCTGAGTTCTTGTTGATGGCTGCCCGCATAACGCCAATTAATTTGCTTCTCTGAAGTGCTGGAGAAAAAGAGATTTTGAGGGAAAGGACTCAATTTGTAAACCGCACACACAAAATAAAAAAACACGTCCCGTTCAAATCGATATTCGCATGGTAAATAGCATAGCGATTTTACGGTGCAATATCGATTTCTCTCTTTTGAAGATTCTCTGACTTCGAGCTTAAATTAGAAACTCTCTTAATTTTAATTAGAGCGAAATAGCGCCTTAAGCTTCAAAGAAACAAATATTCGAAATTCGAACTGACCTGTTTGCTTACATTTCGAGCATATCAAGTCGAATCTGATACCACACGATGAAAAATCAATCTTCGTTTCATATAAATTTTTTTAGGTGAGTGAAATCAATTTGTAAACCGTAGATTTTATTTTGAAGTATTTAATGCGGAAATCGCATCTCTTAGCTTTCTCCTGTATTGAAACTCAAACATTGTAGCGCCTTCGGCACTGCTGCATTGCCTCGTTGAACTCCTTGCAGATCGAGAGATCACTGCCGTTCTCCTCGGTGCACTTGAGGAACTGCCTCAGTTCGAAGGCACAGGGACCATCCTCCACCAGCTGGGGATTGTGGTGGGATGAAGATGAAGCTGCAGGTGCAGCTGCTGCTCCCTCCTGCTGAGGCTGCTCCTTGGCCTTTCCTTGGAACATCCCAGTGAGTCCTGCGCCCACAGCGTGTCCCACAGCTGATCCTGCGGCCACTCCAGCCGCCGTGGTGGCCATGTCCTTGAATCGCTCCTTGGTACTGGAGCCCTTGGCCTCTGCCGCATGAGCTGCTGAGGGAGCAGGAGCTGGAGAGGATTCCTTCTGCACCGCCGGCAAATCCTTGCTGCTCCCGCGAGTCGCAGGCTTCGGGGCAAAGACATGGCTGCTCCTGTTATTCTGGCGACGCATCGATCCATTGGATCTGGAACTTTCGGAGCGTTGACGCGGCATGTCCTTTAAAGTCGCAGGAATTCGCGGAGGGAAAAATAAATCGAAAAGCTGACTTGCTTTCGCCTAGAAAGCTGAATTTAGAATGAAAACTTTTGACCTTTCTGGAGTCAACCCGCCCGGCCAACTGGCATTTCATGTTTTCCCCAAAGGATTTCTCTCTCACTTGAACTCTGCCCGCTAATTATACCCGTTACTCGTAGAGTAAAAGGGTATATTGTATTCGTGCAAAAGTATGTAACAGGTAGAAGGAAGCGTTTCCGACCCCATAAAGTATATATATTCTTGATCAGGATCACTAGCCGAGTCGATCTAGCCATGTCCGTCTGTCCGTCTGTCCGTCTGTCTGTCTGTCTGTCTGTCTGTCTGTCTGTCTGTCCGTCTGTCCGTATGAACGCTGAGATCTCGGAAACTATAGAAGCTAGAAGATTGGCATTTTGCATGCAGATTCTAGGAATTCCTACGCAGCGCAAGTTTGTTTCAAAATGGTGCCACGCCCCCTCTAACGCCCACCATCGCTTATATACGATTTTAAAAATTTTAATATTTTGGAAAAGTAAAAATGCAGTTTTATTGTGTTTATCAATACCTATCGAAATGTAGAAGAAATTTTTCAAATCGGACCATTCGTTAAAAAGTTATGCGTGATCAACGTTTTCTATCTCTATCTCCATCTCCCTCGCACTCCCTTTACCTGAGTAACGGGTATCTGATAGTCGGGGCATCCGACTATAACGTTCCCTCTTGTTTTCATTACACAGGAGCCAATGGGGCTAATTGCATTGTGCACGCCATCGAGTGACATATTACATTATCTCTGCTCTGTTCTGTGCTTTGGAAATTATGCGAATTTTTATTCTAGGGGGAGAAGGATACCAAGAGACTGTCTGCGAAGCAAAAGTGATTATTCACAGACTAAAAAGTTTATTAAGAATGATTATTATATTAAACCTTCAATCTTTAAACTCTTAATAACAAATTGGATGTTTATTAGTCAGAAAAGGAAATTTATCTAAATATAATTTGAATAACACTAGTTTACAGCCGAAATGCTCCCCAGCAATTGATGGCAAATTCTGTTAGTGTTGGACCCCTAGATTACGAAAATAGCATTAATTTTTTTTTCGATGGCACAGTTTTTTTTTAAAGATTTTTTAAAGTTCGAAATGTTAAATTTCGGACTTTTTTCGAATTTCTTCTTATATCTCGGCAGATATCCACCCGATTGGGCCAGTTTTAGTTTTATTTTAAAGTCAATAGATCAGAGCTTAACTTTGCCATACAGATCAATATGATTGGATAAGTAATGGCAGCGTAGAAACTTGACAAAGATGAAAAATATGTTTTTTGGTCGACTGTAAGTCGGCTGTATATATCGTAAAAACTCGAAATAAATCCGTTGAAAAATCAGAATGGTTGCAAACTTAAAGTTAACATCCTACCATATAAAACAAGCTGGATATGGCCCAAATCCATGGAAAACTGGATTTATGGTGGATTTTTAAAGATCGGATTTTTTCCACTTTTTTCGTTTGACAGAGTCCAAATTTAAGATTTATCATAGGCGGCGACATGTAAACAAAAATGAGTGGTGACGGCAGCCGGGTCAAAAAATAGCTAAATTTTAAAAGCTAGAAATTTATAAAATAAATTTAAGTTCTGAAAATTCCTTTAAAATATAAATTTGCTTGCGTTATGACTGTGAGTATTTTTAATGTAGTACTATCCATTTGGATAATTTATTCTTATGAAAAAGTAACCTTAATTTCAAAAATTAAATTCACTTTAATAATTTTCTAGCTTTTAAATATCTGATTTAGCTATTTAGTGACCCGGCTGCCAACACCAATTATTTTTGTTTACATGTCGCCACCTATGATAAATCTTAAATTTGGACTCTGTCAACCGAAAAAAATGGAAAAATCCGAACTTTAAAAATCCACCATAAATCCAGTTTTCCATCGATTTGGGCTATATCCGGCTTGTTTTATTCGGTAGGATGTAAAATTTAAGTTTTTAACCATTCTGATTTTTCAACGGATTTATTTCGAGTTTTTACGATATATACAGCCGACTTACAGTCGACCAAAAAACACATTTTTCATCTTTGTCAAGCTTCTGCGCTGCCATTACTCATCCAATCGTATTGATCTGTATGGCAAAGTTAAGCTCTGATCTATTGACTTTAAAATAAAACTAAAACTGGCCCAATCGGGTGGATATCTGCCGAGATATAAGAAGAAATTCGAAAAAAGTCCGAAATTTAACATTTCGAACTTTAAAAAATCTTTAAAAAAAAACTGTGCCATCGAAAAAAAAATTAATGCTATTTTCGTGATCTAGGGGTCCAACACTAACAGAATTTGCCATCAATTGCTGGGGAGCACACCAAGAATATTATTTTGTAAACTAGTGTAATTATAATACAAATTCTTAAATGAGGCTTTAATAATAATAACATCAACGATTAAAAATATTCTAATTATATTTTTAAATAGCCGAAACTAAAATTTATTATATTCGTTTTTAATAATTTTTTTGGAAAAATAATAATCTATTTACTTAAGTAAAAATGTTAGAAATTTAATAATTTTTAATACTAGAATTGTTTGCGTCATATAATGAGTAGTATAAATTCCTAGGCATTCCCTCATACTCATCTAAATTCCTCCACACCCAATTGAAGTGCTGAATGAGATCCCCTGGTTGATTGCAAATATCTTGCCATAGGCCCCTTGGACGGGCGTTTCATTACTTTTGACAGGCACTTTCCCCCTTTTCCCCTTTCCCCGGCAGCTGCATCTGCATTTCGGTTTCGGCGCAAACTTATTGCACACTTGCGGATCGAGATGAAATGTGTGGATATGCGGGAGATATGCGGATTTCATTTGCATTTGCATTCACGATGCTTCTGTGGGCTGTTTGCCATATATTCTATTTGAATTTGCAGTTTGCTGTTTGCCGATCTGCGACGGCCCAAACTAGCACGCTTTCAATTCGGAACTGCACTCGAGTGTCTGTGAGTTTGCATAGTTGTGCTGATTGCACTTCGTGTAAATTAGTCGTCGACGGCCGCAGTGCGTATGATTAATATGAGGGAATTGAAGTGGGTGGTGGGGGAAAAGCAGCTAATTTCTGGCACTCATTTGCATTTCTGGCGTCGCTCAAAAACTAATTCACGGCTCGCAAGTGGCTCTCAAGTGCTTCCCATTACAAGCACCTCCGATATCCGACGTTATGCACTTTATACTCTCAACTTTGCCTCAATTACTTGGGCCATTTTGCTCACCGAAACACCAAAACTGTCTGGCCGTTTGAAAAACACAATTAAAGTCCACCCAACTCGACCATTCATAACTGCATAGAGGAGGTGGAATCTAGAATCGAGAATGGCGAATGGCCAACATTTCAAATGCGGTAAATTACAGTTAACGATTTTGTAGCACAGCAATTTGCTTTATCTCCAGATGTCTATCTACGGTTTGTAAATGTATTTCCACGTAGCTGCCCCCGAACACCGTTGGTTTTGCATGTCAGCCGACGGGTTCTATCCATACAACAGTAGGTACTATAGTATAGTACTATGCCAAGCTATACCACAGGGCCACCTTCCCTGGTCATTGGACAGAACTAAAGCCGGACCCATTGTGGCTAGCAGTTTGCACTGCAAAAAATAATTAAAAAGCGAAAAAAAATGAAAACAAAATGAAGAACAAGTTGTGTTAAAATAAAATCACTATGAAAATATTGGGAATTCAAATTTTTAAGTTTATTAATATCAATTTGACTATTTTTTACCATTAAACAATGTAAAATTGGTATTGGTTATATAGTTTTTATTCTCTATTTTTATTTCCACTTTTTATTGAATACTGTTATACTGATTATTCAAATAAATTAACACTTTTCTCCTGTGAAATATATATTCCTTGGGAAATTTAATTATTTTTATTTACGAAAAATTATACATTTCACTTGAATAATTTTTCCTCTATTATTTTCTCACAGTGTGTGTGTGTTTGCGGTTAACAAATGTAGGAACACCGCCATAAAGGTGTTGAAATAACTGCTGCACCGTTGAACTCGGCTCCTTTGTTTGCCTTTCGTTGGCGGCGCTTCTTGGGCTCGATTGTTACGGCGTTTTATGGTTATTGTGTCGGGGGCGCAATGCAAATTGCCGCCACATAATTATGTCGCAGTAGAAAATGGGAATATATATACACTAAGTACTGGTATATATGCGGAATAAACCAGAGCTGGACTTGCGACTTTGGGGGCTTCGGGCTTCAAAGTTTCGCAATTGAACGGAAAGTTGAGGTTTTTACACACCTGGACAAGTCCAACTTTTCCATGTCTAATTAGCAAGCGACAGTAACAGTTCCAGCAAACTAATTTATATAAAAAACTCGCTCTGGCCTGGCAATCAAATAATAGAAATGAGAACTTTTAATTTGCCAACGCCCTGACAGCTCACGCAATGGAAAAACGGAAAGCTCCGGGGAAAAACCGACGAGTGGAAAACAAAAACTAAAGTTGCTCAGACTTTTACCTCAGTTAAATCAGTTACTAATTGCATTGTCCTCGGAGCGGCGATAAGAAAGCAATTTCAATTTACCAACGCAGTGGTAATCGATTGCGGTTTAGAATTTGAAGTGGGTACTTTCCAAACTCTGTAGAAAAGAGGGTTTATCGTTTTAAGCTGGTAAAGGTTTTATATTTCGTTCAGTGAAAAAATTATACGAAATCTAGGATATCTATTAAGACAATTTATTCTCATACCTCTTTAATTTTTCTATTCAATATTTTAATACAAAATCATATCAACAGCTCGCTCATAATATTTAACATTTTTAAAAATAAAATAAAATTTTATATTTTCAAAAAATAAATAAAATAAATTTTTGGATAAATTGAAGACAAATCTATGGTATTTCCTAGCACTTCCCCGTTGAGTTGTGAATAGTGTGCAGTATCTTGATTTTCCTCCTTCGCAAAGGGTGCTTTTTCCGAGAACTACTCCATTTTGCTTTCATCAAGTGTCAGGCTGCAGTTCCTGCTCCTTGACTAATGATCGCGTGCCAATGGAAAGGCAATCTGCCATTACAATAGTGCAACTTCACGCACGTATT